CGGCCGGGAGAGGGGAGGGGGGGGGGGGGAGCCGTTTCAGAGGACGGCCTTCAAGGTTGGGGCTGAAGAATGGCCAGCGAGGGGTGGGGAGGGAACGCCTCCCTGGAGATCAGGGGTGTTGGGTGGGGTGGGGGGCAAGGATGGTGGGGAGAGCCCTCAGTGTGGGGGGGGCCCCTCAGGGGCAGATGAGATGATGCGGGTGGCCGGTGGTGGCCTCTAGGGGGCGCTGTGTGGCTGGATAAAGAGGCTCCCAGTTGGCCGTCAGTGGTGGCCTCTAGGGGGCGCTGTGTGGCTGGATAAAGAGGCTCCCAGTTGGTTGTCCCACGGGACTGGTGAATGGGGTAGGTGTGGGGCAGCCCCCCGCCCCGGCTTCCCGGCAAGTGGAATCCTCCCTGGGCATGTTGCACACCAGGGAAGTAAGGTAAGGGGTCTCCCTGTAGGTGTGAAGCGAGAAGGAGGGCTTCAGGATATTCAAGATACCCTTGCTACGAAAATCCGCACTTGGTTCTGTCTCTGTGTTTGTTCATTTATTCGTTTATTCGTTCTCTCTCTCTCTCTCTCTCTCTCTCTGTAAGACGAATTGATCTGGCCCTTTCCTCTCTCTGACCCCCTTATTGCTTTCCGGACTTGTCCTTTGAACTCTACCCCGATCCTGTCCGACAAGCAATTTTTTAAATTCCATAATGAATTGACCATGCAAATGTCTGCAGTCGCGGAGGGAGGAGACAACTTTCATGGCCTCCACTACGTTTTAATTTGGGGGGGGGGAGCGGATTTTATTTTTCCCCCTGTCCCGAACTTGGGATTTTTTGCCCATGGCTCCTTCTACCTGTGGAGGTCCACCGCCGGGCCCCTCATGGGGCTCGGCATGGAGCTGCAAGGCTGACGGCAGTGGTCGTTGGGGGCAGGGTATGAGGCCTTATGACACACTTCCGGTGATGTCAGGGGGTGTGGCCTTATGACACACTTCCGTGATGTCAGGGGGTGTGGCATATGCTAATGAGTTATGCTAATGAGTTCCTCTAGCTCTTTTTCTACGAAACGACCCCTGGTTAGAACTCATCTCTGGCAACCCTGTTGGGTTTCCAGGACAGGAAAAGTTGAGAGGTGCTTTTCCATTTCCTGCCTGTGCTGAGCGATGCTGGACTTCCTTGGTGGTCTCCCTTCCAAATACCGACTCCCTTCCAAATGCTGCTTCGCTTCCAAGATCTGATGAGACGGGGCTATCCTGGGGCTATCCAGGTCAGGCCGTGTCATAAAACCCCCAACAAAACACTCCCCTCCCTAGCAGGGCCAAAGAGGTTGGGCCTAGTGTGGGCAGAACCAGGACCCCCGTGGAGAAAGGAGCTCTCCTGGAGGAAGCTGCCGAGCTTGGACAAAATATGGTGTTTTAGGTTCCATGGTTTATACGCCCTCCTCCCTCCACAGAATTTAGGAAGGCCTACGTGGAAATTCAGGGGCTGTGATGGCTCAAGTGGTTAAGGCGCTGAACTGCAGGCTGTGGAAGGTCGGTAGTTCAGCAGTTCGAGACCCGGGTGTGCCGCACGACGGAGTGAGCTCCTGTCTCTAGTTCCAGCTCCTGCCAACCTAGCAGTTCGAAAGCAAGAAATTGCAAGTAGATAAATAGGGACCGCTTCGGTGGGAACGTAACAGCGTTCCGTGCGCCTTGGTGTTTAGTCATGCCGGCCACATGACCACGGAAACGTCTTCGGACAGCGCTGGCTCTTCGGCTTGGAAACGGAGATGAGCACCGCAACCCCAGAGTCGGATTCGACTGGCTTTCGAGCAAGGGAACCTTTACCTTTACCTTTATGTGGAAATGCAACCCTTCTTCTACAGCCCTGTGCTAAGTTAGGGGCGAGTGGGTCACTTAGGGTAGTGGAGTGAGCTTCAGGACCTGTTGCGATACAAGCCCATGTCTCTCCCTGGTCCAAGCTCCTAAGGGCCACATTGCACTGGTGTTTGGGTGCTTTTGGTCATAGATGGAGCCTGGCTGAAGATGGAGTCTCAGTCTCCTGACAACGTAGATCGAACGTCCCCAACCTTATGGAACCTGGGGGCACCTTTGGAATGTAAGGGAGGGTGTTGGACACCGCCACAAAATGGCTGCCGTGCGGCCCAGGGGCGGCCACCAAACGTTGGGTTCCGAGCCAAGCCTCGCAACACGACAGAGGCAGCTGTTTCGAAGTGGGTGTTCCTTGTAGACAGAACAGTTATTCCCCTGCTCCAGTGAGGTGGAGAAAAGTCAGGATTGGCCCTTTGCTTTGCAAAGAAGGAAGGGGTCACCGGGAAACACAGGTCCTTTCCGCGTTTGCCCGCCCCTCCGGATTTTCTCCATGTCCGAGTCGAGGCAATTTAAGTCCACGGCAAAAGAGCATCCAGATAACCCGGGGCAACGACAGGCTGGAACCGGGCTGACCGCTGAAGGGTGGTAATGGAATGCAGAGTGGGGGGGAAAGCCCGGGATAAAAAGAAGGTTGAAGTCGATTTTAGTGCGGAATGTGGGGAACCTGGATTAAAAAGAAGGTTGAATTTGATATTAGTGCAGAATTGCTTGGAGGACACTCTGCAGCGAACGATTAAAAGGAGGGTGCCGAAAGGGCCACAGTGGCAGACACCCCGGTGCCCGTGGGCACCCCGTTGGGGATCAATGTCTTATAACCAGATAAGTGACTGGTGGGCAGAGCTGTGCGTTATTGTGTGTCGCAGGAGAGTGTGTCAGCCCACGCTGTGTCGGTTCTCGATCGGGACCGCGCCCGTCCTCTTCCCGAGCTCCGTTTTGGCCCCCTGACTCCTCTCTCTCTCCTTCTCTCCCTGGCTAGGACCTGGAAGTGCTCTCCCAGGAGATCGTCCGTCTGAGCAAAGAGTGCGTCCCGTCCCCCAACGCCGAGCCCGGCCTGGACAACGTCGTCTGAGCGCAGTTCCGTCCTGTGGATCCGCCCCTTCGCTTTGCCCTTGACTGCACTTGCCAGTGTGGCGTTCGGGGGCGAAACTGCCACCACCTACTGCCTCCTCCTCCTCCTCGGCTTGATCTCTCCCATCCTTTTTCGGTTTGGGGGCCGGGGGCATCTATCCCTCTCCAGCTTAGCCGTCTTTCCCTTTCCCCTCCGCCAGCAAACGGTTTCTCCCAGAACTACCTCCCTCCTCCGGCTGCTCGGGTCAGACCTCTTCCCCCGCCCCCGCCCCAATTTTTCTCCCTTACACAGCCTGGTTCTGTTCTTCCAGGGGAGCCATAACTGCTGATCTGCGCCGAGACACACTGGTGGAAGCGGCCTTATTACTGTAGCGCTCCGTGTGGTCGGGAGGGCAAACTGCGGCCTGGTTCCGCAGGCGATGGCTTTAAATGTGCCAAACCGGCGTTCACAGGGGGGGGAACGTTGGACACCTTGGTTTGGCTTAACAAGACCCGTGAGGCAGGGGGAGAGGTTGTCTTGTCATGGTAAAAGACCCCTCAGAATAACATTGTTCCGGGGGCCAGTGATTAACGGATAACTTACCCCATCCTGCCACCTCTCCCTCTGCCTCCACCCTACAAGGAACCTCTCCGATCCCACAGCACCTCCCTGGGACTCAGTCCAGTTCTCTCCGCTTCTCTCTCTCTCTCTCTTTTTCTACGTCCTTCATTTTGCATGCTCGGTCAGTCCCCAAAAAAACCCCTCCCATCCCGCCTGCGTCCAGCTGTTGCTGCTGTTAATTAAGAAGAAAAAAAGAGTAAAATATTATAGAGAAAAATATATGTATATATATATATATTTGCGCTGACTCCTTCCCGAGAGATTGGGACAGAACGCAAGGAGGGCAGCTTCCCCGGCTGCGCTTTTCCCGTCGGCGGAGACAGCGCGAGCGCTTTATTTAACGTATCATGACTTTAACACGCGGCTGTTAACGGTTGAGCAACTGATAATGCAAACAATGATTTTTTTTTTGACCGCCTCAAGCTCTGTGGTCTGTCTTTTCTTGTCTGGCAGGGGCTGGAGACTTACAGCGGAGGAGACTCATGGGAAGGGGAGGAAGGGGGGGGTCGGATCCTGGGCTTGCTCGGGTGGAACCAGGCTCTTGATCCTGGCTCAGGTCACAACCATACGGCCCTTTTCCTATCAGACCTTTCAGTGGGAGCCTGTTGTGTGGTTTTCCCATACTGAGGTTGCCAGTCTCCAGGCAGGGCCTGGAGATTTCCCAGAATTACAACTGATCTCCAGACTACAGAGATCAGTTCCCCTGGAGAATCATAAAGTCGGAAGGGACCGCCAGGGTCATCTAGTCCAATCCCCTGCACAAGGCAGGAAATTCACAAATATCTCCCCGAAATACACACAC